TATATATATATATATATATATATATATATATATATATATATATATATATAGTATTTGTGTGGCAATTTCTTTCTCAAATACTTTGTTGGGGGTATTCTATGGAGCCCCGGGCTCACAGATAGAAACATCGTTTGAGGTCGTTAGAATCCATTCTGTCAGTTTTTGAAACTATGCACACATATCAGATAACTAAAAAAAAGCCAGCATGCATCATGTAGTAAATTTGTGCAAACATTTAAAATACATTCTTTCTACACAAATTTGAAATAGCATTGATGGATTTGTGCAGTAGGTGTTGTGCTTAGTTTTGTTTTTAGTGTGATTGAGGAAATGAACAGCAGCAGTACTGGAAGTTAGACAAGGGTTTTGTAACTTTCTACTAACCTGGGCGGGTCTGTTTCTCTGTGTGTGCGTGAGTGGTGAGCATGGAAATGTTATGAAAATTTGTGTTCTAGTCAATGTGTCTCAATAAAATTTCCAGAAAAATGTGCCACAAACAACAGCTGAAGCCTATTTCCTAGAAGACTCCTGCCCCTATCCCTTTTGAGCCTATATTTGAAATTGTAAGTGGTGAGAATACAGTGAAATGTGATTCCTTTTAAAAAACTAGCATGGCATTAAGGTTGTTTTCACACCTGATAGTCCGGTAGACTCGGTTCGGTTGGGGACCAATATTCATGACATTTTGTTTACATTTGAGCTGGTGCGTTTGCATTCACACTGCACTGTGCAGTCGAGTCAACCTGTTGAACCAACCTGTTCCCCCACTCACCTGTGGGGGCGCTGCACCAAGAACTACTGAAAGAAACAACACAAAAACCTCTCAAGACACTTCTTCTTCTGGAAATAAAAACAAAAACGGAGTGCCATCAAGTTTTAGCAGTTTTAGGAGTTATATTTTGTCATTTTTCAACAATGGACTCAGCATGAGTAGAAGATGAGGAAGAAGACCATGGAGAATATCGTTTTTTCACACAAGGCAGCTGACAGCTCCGTATAAGGTAAGAGAAATGTGTGTTTGTTTGCCCTGCATTGTACTCCACTTCTTGCTTGTGGAGCGAGGCTCGGTCTGTTTACATTCACACTGTACTCGAACCGTGCTCGAGTTCTCTTGTACCGGACCAAGACCTAGGTTTTAGCCCGGGCCAGAGTTCACCTTTTTGTTCAGTGACAGAGTTCGATGGCGCGTTCACACCTCCCCAAACGAACCGGACTTCCTAGGAAAACAAGTTAGAGTTCGAATAAAGCGGACTAAACAGGTCTGGTGTGAATGCACCATAAGGCCCTGTGTACATGTAAACAATCTCTGGAAACATTAGTGTTTTTTCCTTTGTTAATTAAGACATCTTTTTTGTAATGCCACTGTCTTCTCTTAATGACTTTGTCTCCTTTTCTATCTAAAAAATGTATTCTGAAAATGATAAGAAGGCCGTGCTTATAGCAGCAGCTATGTGCACTCCGTCCATCTTTCAGACGACTGAACGGCCATATTCTCGTTGTATCTCGGTGCAATGATCATAAAGCTTATTCTGATTCTGATTCTTCTGACAAATAAATAACTTATAGATGTTATTAGAGACTGAGCTTAGAGACTGAGCTGAAAACAGCACCTCAGACTGAGGAAGTCTCTTGGATGAGAGACGAAACGTTTCTAGATTTTTTTGCTTTGTTTTTGTTTTTTTTGAATGTCCAGAGGACCAGATTGAACTTTTTTGGATTTTTCTACCTGGATTATTTAGCATGCATCAGGTTATAGATGTTTATTTTTCTGCAGTCAAATTTGCCTCATTAATTTGTGGTGTTTAATGCCAATTTGCTAATGCTTGTATGTTGATGCACTAAAATAAAATGCTGGTAAACTTTTTGCATTCATGTCTGTATTGTGACAACAATTATGTTATCATTGAAGCTTTACAAAGCAATCGCACACAGCTGATGGACTCTTGTTTTCTACGTTTATGTCAAACTTAACATTATTTACATAAAACAATGTTCTACATTTATTTTTGTAGTCACATTAACTATTTGTTGTGGCAACTCTGCAAAGGAGTTTTTACTTAATATTCTGATATCATTTGTATTCCATTCACATGTGCCCCGCATTCTATTTTCACTTATGCTTTTAATCTTATAGACAAATAAGTGCTGGACACCAGGGTGCATTTAAGGTGCTGAACCTGTATCTTGAATGGTTTGTCTAACTTCATTTGATATTTTTTCCCACTGTTTTCCCTGATTTCCTCCGTATTGTCTTTCAGATGCCAAGGAAATTGTGTTAAAAGCTCAAATTCTGGCCGGAGGCAGAGGCAAGGGTGTGTTTGACAGTGGCCTTAAAGGTGGAGTTCATTTAACCAAGGAGTAAGTGTTCCTGTATGTGCATTACAAACTGGATGTTGTTTTCCCCACTCACAGCAGCTTTTATAGTGAGGAGCTTAAAGAGTTCTCTAAAAGTGCTCCTTAAGCACAAAGACACAGAAACAATTTTTGTTTAGGATTAATTTTTAATTTTATTTTTTACCACAAGAGTTTTGCTTTTGAACTAGAATATAACATAAATAAAGCGATTTTCAAGGCAACGGAAGCACTACTGTATGTACCGCAAAGAATACTTTCCGATGAGCTCTCGTTCTGAAGTCCTTTTAAAGGGCTAAACAACAACATGACATAATGTTTTTAATTATTTTTTGCTCAGTCACCATTTTTTTGTTGTTTCCCACCGTCTTTCCGATACAGTCAAAAACCCTTTTTACTTTTTTGTAAACTTCCACCTGCTGCAACCACAAAGCCAGACAGGTGACAGTTGCTGCATGCATGTATCAGCATCACCTTATTTTGCAGTTTGAAACACCCGGAAGCTTTATAATTTTTTTTCCTTTTTTAAAGTCAGCTACTGAAGTTCGTCCCCAGACGGTGACATGAGTACGCAGTTCACCTTCCTGTGATTTATCAAAGAGCGTTTGCAACCCCCAGCTTCATTTGTATTCTTTTACAAAACCAGAGCAGACTTGCAAAAGCAACTCCAGCACGAAGAATGCCTTTAGATAGAAAGTAAAGCATGGGTTCATTCACAGCAGTCTGTACTGAGGAGTCCTCAAAATGAGTGCTGAGGCATGTGTACAACCCTAATGAGAAGTAGAGAAACAGCAGATCTACCTGCTGCTCGTGTTTTCATTCAGTACGCGGTTTTCGGTGGGTTTTAACTACATATTGCTGACAAAAGAAAATAAAGCAATGGTTTGACATTTAACCTGTCTTTTTCAGTCCTGCAGTGGTTGGGGAGCTGGCTAATAAGATGCTTGGTTTCAACCTTATTACTAAGCAGACACCTAAAGAAGGAGTGAAAGTGAAAACGGTGAGCAAAAGGAAACTCTTTCCCTCTTTCTTGACCTCATTTCAAGACACTCAGTCCAGTGATGCTGTTCTGTAAAATTAATATCTGTGGAGGCAATCTGGTTCTTCTTTTTTCCGCATTGAAACAGTAACTGTCTGCTGTTTACTGCAAGTTCGTGCTGGCTAGTGTAACGGCTCATTGCGTAAATTGAGCCAGGCCCAGTGTGAATTTAAAGTGTTTGGTAAACAACTGTTTCCTTGTGCCACTAACAAGCAAGAATATAATTTTCTCTGCCTGCATGCCGCATGCTGTACTTCCTCAAAACCAGGTGATGAAGCCTCAGTGTGTGGCTCCTGCGCTCGTCTTCTTCGTCTCCTCTTCATCTCTGTTTGCCCTTGCTTCTAACACCACCCTCCCCAACTTCCCACCACATCCACACAACTTCTGTTCTTGCTGCAGAGTTTAGGTGGCATCAAGTTAAGTCTCAAAAAGCACCAACGTGAAAAGTCATTCAAACAATCTCAGCATTAACGTTCGCAAAGACAAACAAACCAGAGTTTAATTAGTAGAGGGAGAGGAGAGATGTCTTTTACTCAGACATTTACTGTAAGTGTCTCAACCAAGAACACTGCCCACGATGCAGGATTCAGAGCTGACAAGAACAGCCATTGACTGACCTGAAAGACTGAGTACAATAATGATGTATTGTGAACAAGAGGCTTCAGGTGATGCTAGATTTGTGTAGTTTTGCACACATGGTGGAGCTTACTTTCACTGGTACTTTACCTCAAAGCAAGAAATGCCAGATTACATGCCAGCACCTCTCTGCCAACATGGATTTGCCATCATGACACTGCTAGATGGATGACAAGACAGGGGATGTAGATGATGACTAAAGAACACAAATGCATTAAACAAACAACAGACTTGAGTAGGAAAAGGAGAGAACAAGACTATGGTGGAAGTATGTTCAGGTTAAGAGAAAGAAATCAAAAATAGGAGCTGAAAAAATGTTTTAGTCACTGGAGAAAAGTATGTTTGGACAAGAAAGCAAGGACACTGTCTTTTAAAAAAGATGACAAAGAGAGCTATCCATTCTCATCCACAACAAATGGGTGATGGATGGAAGAGGATGTGCAGGTTCAAATAAATATTGTACCCAGAAATCTTGCTGACATTAACTACCACAAATCTGGTTTCCTGTCTTTTTATTTCTTTTTCAACATTTCTTGCTTGCTTGCTTCTTTTTTGCTCACTTTCTGTTCAAGTATACCATTCCTTCTATTTGCCTTCATTTTTTTTACTCCTCACAAAAAAAGAAGTTTCCTAAAACCTTTTACTCAAACATTTTGTCGGTCTGTATATCCTGCTTTTATATTCAGCCTTGTTTAAAGGGTACACCATAGGGTTAAGTTAAAAGTATATAACGTGTTTGAATACAAACACGAAGTCCTGCTGCAATCCTATCTGTGTTTTCTCTCACATGTCCAGGTGATGGTTGCTGAAGCCCTGGATATAAGCAGAGAGACTTACTTTGCCATCCTAATGGATCGTGCCTGTAACGGTCCTGTCATGGTGGGGAGCCCCCAGGGAGGTATGGATATTGAGGAGGTGGCAGCCAGCAGCCCAGAACTCATCTTTAAGGTATTTTTTTTAAATATAAATTTTTTATCATCATTAAAATATTTAATATTTAACAAAGAAAGTACATATTGCAGAACAAAATGGCTGCAGATAGATGTCTAATAAAATTACTTGGGTAAATACTTTACCAAGCTATGATTGTTGATACTTAAAAAGCTCATTTTAAAAGCTAAATAATGCTTTATTACCTTCAAATGAAGCCAAGTTGCCAAAAGAGGTCTTCAGTATGATTAGCTGTTTATTCAGATTATTTTTGTCCCTACTGTCGACAAAGAGTAGAAACTAAAAGCAGGACTCATGTACAGAAACACGTGTATATCCTAACATGAACAAACACACACACACACACACAATGATTCTGCTCATTATGTTACTATTAATTGCATTTAATTGAGAGTTCTTGGCAAGTCCTTGTCATTGTGAACACATTATAACCACCACATATGCTTCTTACATATTTTCACTAAATAATCAGGTAATTTGTAAAAGTATAGCTCAGTGTTTTAAGCTCCTGCTGAGATCCACATTGCTGATGGGCTCGCTTCAGTTTTTCACTTTGTGTTTTAGACTTGAGTGCAAGTAGGTTTATTTTTTTATTTTTATTTTTTCAGATAAATTTACAACAAACTATAAAATAACCCACTGAGATGATTATTCACTTGAAATTCATTACAAGCTTGGTGTGCTTTCAGTTTAGTTTATTCCAGATTATTTTTCCCTGTCTGCTTGGCTGACGCATCAAAGCTAAACCAGACTGGATGGAAGGTATTATTTACTGCCTTGATATTCATTTCAGATATATTCTCTGTGAGTTTAGGCCTAAAACAACCTGAATACTCTTTCATTGAGTTTTTCAGAAGCCATTTATAATGTTTTGTTTTTATGTGTCTTGTGTTGATTGACACCTCATTGAAATGTAAACCTTTATCCCAGCCCAGAAACGTGTCTTTGTTTTCTTCTTTTAAGTCCATCCATTCATCCATTACCTTTACCCACTTCTTCCTTTTTGGGTTGCGGGGGTCACTGGTGCCCATATCCAGCCATCACTGCGCAAGAGGTGGAGGACACCCTGGACGGGTCTCCAGTCCATCACAGGGACACATAGAGACAAATGAGACAAACAACCATTCACTCTCTCTCACAATTAGAGACAATTTAGAGTTACCAATCAGTCTAACATGCATTTTTTGGTCTGTGGGAGGAAACCAGAGTACCCGAAGAAAACCCACACATGCACGGAGAGAACATGCAAACTCCACCCAGAAAGTAACGTAAAGTGAAGTAAAGTGCTATGTGTTGTCAAGATTGTATGCTCTCATTCAATGGCAAAATTAGTTCTCTGCATTTAACCCAGCACACCTGGGATACACCCAGGTGGAGCAGTGGACAGCTATGTAAGCACCCAGGGAGCAATTAGGGATTCATTCATTCATTCAACCTTTATTTAAACAGATAAATCACATTGAGCCTCGAAGACTCATTTACAAGTGAGACCTGTTTGGACAGACAAAAACAGCGGTTAACTGGACACATGTAGGAGTTGGAGGCGAAAAAAATTCCTATCAGACTTTTTTTTTTCTTCAGTGTCTTGCTCAGAGACACCACGACATGTGGGAATGGCTGGGAATCGAACCTGGGACTTTTGGGTCCCGAGTCGGCTGCCCTGCCTCTACCCCATCTCGGCTGAAAGGCCTCGGGTTACGATTTGAACGGACAACCTGCTCGCTGAGAGGCAGCAGTTCTACCAACTGAGCCACCATGCTGCCGTACTTTGTAAAGCCCTGTGCCAACAGGGCCTCAATAAATCTTTTCCAGAATCTAGGGCTGGGTGCCTTTCTAAAAAAAAATTGGTACTGTTACCTTCACTTCGGTGTCGGTTCCTGAACAATACGTTTTTCGGTACTAATTTTATAATTAATATTAATTCTAACAAGAATAAAATTATGTTACACATTATAGTACCAATTGTGAGTTTTATTTTTTAACTTGATATTTCTATTCCAAGCAGTTTCCTTACATAAAAATAGACAAAAAATGTCCAGTTCAAAAGAACAGTTGCAAACAACCAGTGACACGTCAGTGTCTAATGCTCATTGCTACACACTGAGGACCTTTTCACTTCACAGTTTTTCTTCAGAAACATCAACATGTCTGTTTTCTCTGGACACAAACAAGCCCACTCCTGGCTGATGGTGTCTCCAGCAGTAGAAAATGTTCATTCCGAGGGTGTGGATGATGCTTGTTGCACACACAGATACCTGGTTGTCAGTTTGATAGCACTGACATATTGTCCCTCACATTCCACCAGCAGGTCACTGGATTCACTGAGGTTAGGGTTGATGGCAGACTTTCTGAACCTCTGTGTCTCTGCCTGAATCTTCTCTGTGGTTCTCTGGGGTTTAGGGATCTGATAATCTCCCTAATTGACATGAGAACACAAAACATCAACAGTAACATGGTTGTGTTATTATTGCTCAAAAAACATTATCTAGGCTGAGAAGTAAAAGCTTAACTGCTCGACAATATCCTTTACAGCTTAACTTACCTCCACCATGCAGCCTCCACTGTAGAAAAAGAAGCAAACTTTAACAACAAAGTTTGTGTCTGTCCTGTGGCCCCCATCTTGCTTTTCTTTTGTCTGTCCTCCTCACATCAGGGTCAGAGGCTCCTGTGAGGAGAACAGAAACAGTGAACATTATTGAACTGTTTAAGCAGCTGACCATGGATGGGCACATTTTTACAAGCTAAGCTACATCTGTTACTGTCGATCTTTAGTTAGCTTTTGATTTTAGCTAGGTACATAGATAGCCATAAAATAAAGCTACACACTAATATCTTAAAGTTAAGGGAGTGGTGGCGTAAAGGTTAGAGAAGGTGGACCTGTGATTAGAAGATCGCCGGTTCAAGCCCTGGTACCGACAACATCAAAAATGTGGGTGGGGTAGGTGAAGCAGCCACACCTGCTCCCACCCTCATTCGTCCCACTCTGGGCCCTTAACCCCCACCATCTGCTCCTCCGGGTGTCCTAGATAGCAGCTCTCTGCTCCACACAGAGGGCTGTGGTAGCTCTGTGTCTGTGGTTGCGTCAGGAAGGACATCCGGCGTAAAAAAAAACCTGCCAAGTCTTCGTGCAACTTAGTTCGCTGTGGCGACCCTTAAAAAAACAGGGAGCGGCCGAAAGAAGAAAAAAAACCTAATATCTTAAAGTTAGCGTTACATGGATTCTAGTTTAACTCACCGCGATGCACGTATTAAACTGCAGCCACGAAGCTGCAATAATATATTTTTTTGTTTTTGTTTTTTTAGCCGCAGTAATATTAACAAACGTAAACTTGCCAGCTGAAATCCCGGACACAGCTCCGTCCTCGGAGTTCTCAGATGAAGAGGAGTCCGGTCGTGGAGATGTTGAATCAGGCCGTTCAGGCTCTAACACCCACAGGCTGACTTTAACGCTGAGAGGAGGAGGCTACAATTCCACTTTTCTTGCAGACAAACACGGAGCAACTTTCCGCTCGTAACTTGAAGCGGTTTGACGACACACGCGCTGCACTAGTTCACACAACACATACACGTGAACCCCGTCTGTGGGCGTAACCAGCGCCATAGATATACTGCGGCTCTATACAGCTCTGGGAGTAACCACATATGTCTGTTTGCCATATGTCTGTGTTTTACCTGCATGCGTGCTGAAACCATGTGTCACGTTACAGCCAATCACCGATACTTGACACCGAAAGAAAAGGCATGTTTTGATCCATATACCGTTTTAAAAATCCAACGTTCGGTACTCAGCCCTATCAGTATCACAAATAAACATTTGGTCTCATTGGCTACAGGACTTTTAATCACGGTTCATCTTTACACTTTCAGTTTGACTGGACAGCCAGATCAAGAAGGTCCTTTTGTAATTTAAAAAATCCTAAATTTTTAAATAATAAGACAGTTTACCACCTCTGGTTGACTAAAATGACTTCCTGCCGGGCTGTAGAAAGATCTTTCAACATCAGTCTTTTATTTCCATTTTTCTTGTCAACACTAGAAGGCTAGCCATGCTTTTTTTCCAAGTTGTTGGAACAATTTTCCACTTTTACTTTTTGATTGAGAAGCTTTTTTTTTTTTTTTTTTTTTGGAGACTTCACTTGTATAATTACTGTCCCAATCACTTTGTAAAAAAGTAAACAAAACTCTTGATGTTATGTAAGAGAATGTGAAACATTAAAATACCATGAGAGTTTGACAGCATTAACGTCTGAAGGGTAATACCAAAAGTGTAATGTAAGAGACATGATTTTTTATTTTATTTTATGTTTTACTTGAGGGGTAGCTACATTAGGCACAAACATGGATTAATTGTTTCAACAGTTAACACATCTGCAGGGTGCTCTTGCTCCAACAGTAAAACAATTTCACAGAAAACTAACTGTACAACTGATACCACTGCTAATCACTGCTCAGTTCATTGATGCTAGTATTGTTTGCTTTGGGCATCCTAGTTTTAATTTCACTAGAAACCTACTAGTGCAGCATATTCTTACAGTGACTCATAATTAAGAAGTTATTTTTCTTAGTACACTTGACTAAGTAAGGGTTTGAGGTTGACGGCATCTACACATTTAAAAGTTCACAGACATCTAGACTAAAACTGGACTACATTTAGTTTAAAACTGAAAGTTATGAAAGTGTCTAATCTTCGTCACAAACATCAAATAGGTGTTTGCATTTAAATCAACAAGCAAAATGCTCAAAGACACGAGTCAATCTTGAAGTTCTGCATCCTAAGTGCTTCTCTCCTACTTTGCGCTTTAGGCCTCTGTTGTGCTTCAGCATCTGAATCAGGGTTGATCATGTACTCTGAGCATCCTGATGAGCCAAAGCACAGTCATCATTAACTCTGGGCTGGACTGCACCTCATTTCTGTATCAAACTGTGCACAGTTTAATGATTTAGTAACTGGTGGGACACATGCAATGAGCCAGGGTATGGCACGGGGGCCACCAGTTGATGATCACTGTTATGGATGCATTTTAATCAGCTTTTATAAGTGCTGGTTGGGTCTGAGCTTTCAAGGTTAATAATAACTTTTTATGCACTTGGTTTTAGATTATAATGGAGATGATTGTGAACTGCAGATACAAAAATATTATTCATTTGATAATTTGTTTTTAGTAGAGTGAAAACTTTTTTTTATTCATTTTCTTCCACTGAAAAATATGTGCATTATATAAACTAGGAACCCTCAAAGTGTCAAATAAGAAAACCTATCAGATACATCAAACTTAAATACACACCAGGGTGGTAAGAAGTACTGACCATGACAGCAACAGTGTTTTAAACCCTTCATAAATGAGCTTCCTAACTCTTAAAAGTTTAAGATACAAGGTTGTAAATCCCTTATTCTAGTCCCAACATTTCATCTTTTGTGTTTGACAGCTTGTCCATACATATGAGTTTAATACACCTAATCATTTGTTTTTGTCATGTTGTAGTCCAACATTTGAGCTTTCTTTTCTTTCTCTCTTCTATCACCCATTTGTCATCCTTTCCTTTTTCATTTCCTTTCCTTTGCCTCCAGGAAGTCATAGATATATTTGAAGGCGTGCGAGACGACCAGGCACTTCGTATGGCTGCTAATTTGGGATTCAAAGGACCTCTGCAAAGACAGGTAATGGGTGCAATGAGGGCTTTAAAGTTGCAATGAGAAGGGGAGACAGAGAGATCTGCAATTCACACACACAGAGAAGCAAGAGCATTTACAAAGCAGCCATACTTTGGCTATTATTAGTTTTTCAGAGGCAAACTGTGAAGAGTCTTTACGCAGGGCTCACCTGCCAGGTGGTGCATTGTTGTAGCTGGCAGTGATGCAAGGCACTGTGCCAAGCTCAGGAGCTGACATCACTAATGACACCATTATTTGATAGAATATGCTGCACAATGATTTTGTGATCAATATGTTTTGTGAGCTTGCAGTAAGCTGTTAAACTTCCTTCACTATAGACTTTTTAGCCGATGAAACAATCCTTTTTTTTATTTTCTTTTTACCTCAAGTTTTAAAAAGCATGTTCATGCATCATTTGCTCATAAAATGAGGTTGGGGAAGCACAGCACAGAAGCACCCCAGGTTTTACAGACCAAATGGGTCTGTGTGCTTGGATGAGTCGATTTCAAAGCCTCTTTTGTCTCGTGGCGTCAGATCACTAATTTGTTTTCTTTTCCTCGGGCACTGTGGCATGAGAAATGAGAATAACTCAAAATTATAACACAAGAAAAACGTATAAATCAAATAAATAAATCTGCTTCTGTGAAACAAACTTGAGTTGAAGACTTGTTCGCTTTGATTGCATTACATTATTTGATCTTTTGATTTGCAGCGCGTTGAAAGAGCATTGATTCGAAACAGGCAAAGGAAGAAATAGAAATGATCGGTGAAGTGTGAGCATCGTCAGTTTGCTTCTCTGGTTGCTGAGTCGACTGCTAGACTGTTCACTTCAGACCAAACACAGACTTTTTTTCTTGTAAACAGGCTTTTTGATTATAGGAGAAATCGTATGTATGTGCCAATTCAACTTTTTATGGAAAACGTACGCGTGTAAAACTGAGTTTTGATGTTGTGTCAAATTATTTTTGTTGCGCTACTTAAAAGCTGTTCAATAATTTCAGATATGAATTGAATTTTTTTCAAATTCTTATTAAAATTATATATTTTTTTTCAGATTCTGGTGCATAGATTAAGTTTTAGATTTAAAATTAACTAAAACAACTTGCAATATTAAAACAGCTGTGTTAGATGTCATCTTACGAGTAATGTTTGATCAACATGTGCCGGAGTGTAAATTTTCCTCTGGATCTTCACATCAATGCAAACACAGCTCAGACAGCCTGATGTTGGCTGTGGTTTGTCATGTTTTATGCAGCTTGTGAAGTAAAGCTGTGCGGCCTTGATGGGACCAAGTGCTCAGAGTCAAACCCTCAAGTAATTACTGTCGTCTGTGGACTTTGCAGGCTGCAGATCAGATTAAGAGGCTCTATGATCTGTTCCTGAAAGTCGACGCCACTCAAGTCGAAGTCAATCCTTTTGGAGAGACTCCTGAAGGACAAGGTACTTTTTGTTGTTTTTGTTGTATTGTCCTTGTGTTTTTCTGTGTTTACTGGCCACTATTTTGTGTTTCATTTTGGAAAATACACCATTTTTATTCTGCTTTGTTTAAAGAAAAAAACATTTTAAATACTAACTTGTTAGCCTCTCTGCATGTCTGAATCTGCTCAGGAGCATGAGGTGTATTATAATTGCAGCACAGTGACATCAGCCTCTTGTCGGCATGATTTTATCTGGATCAAAGTGCAAACAGCTTCAAGGAGCAGAACCTTTTTATATTCACAGCCTGCCGATATTTGTCTATGTTTTGGTTTTAATGATGCTTTTAAAGCTTTCAATCACAAATAAGGAGGAGCTGCAAATCTAGCATCAGCCTCATGTACCTACCTGAGGTACTCCACCTTCTACATAGTGGTAAAAATAACTACTGAAGGATGCTCCACAGTAAAAAAAAAATAAAATCAAACAATAAGTATATCTGTTCAGATTAAATAAAGGTTTTGGTAAATTCCTAATATCCCATGAATTCAGTTAAAACAAATCATTCAATAAAACAAAGTCTGATTGTTTAAAAATTTTTTTTATCATTTATGCAAAAAGCTCATCTTTTCTTGAACAAATCTCAAATTTTTGCAAATGTTAAACTTTAAAGTCAAAGTCAAGTCGATAAAATTGTGTCTGAATCAGAAAATGTCTAACTCTTGCTCCTACAGCTCCATTGAAAACTTACTAATTGTTATATTTAAATTTTAATCAGTTTTAGTCCGTAATAAAAGAGTACTCTGCATGAATCCTCTCGCTGCGAACCTTCCTTATTCCTAATGGATAGGTCGTTTGAAAGAATCAAAGAGAGATTATAGCAAATTAAAAGGTTAAGAAGTCTAGAATAGCCTATTACTTTTCAATCTACAGAAAATAACTTGGGCTAATTAGAAATTTGATACATTTACTGACGATTTAGGATTTATTTAATTATCTTAGTTCAGTGTGTCAGTTGATTGGTACTTTTATTAATCTAAACTTATATGAATGTTAATTATTTTTGAGGTGTGTGTATCTGCTGATACAGCACCGTTTTGTTGTATTGTAGATGAAAACGTTTTACTAACCGTGTGCAGTTTTAACTTTTACCAAAGTTTAAAGTCTGAGTAAAGCCCTCGACCCATGGATGTAGCTGTTTATAAGATAACGGCTACAGTAGAATAGTGACAAACGTTTAGATGCAAACGGTAGTAAAATGTATTTACCGAGCAGGCCCGGCGTGTGTTGCAGCTGGAGGAACAGCTGCTGCAGTGCTCTTATCTTTAAACCTCTCATTAGTGGGAGTGTGGGCTGCTCAGCTTTCCACTGGGGGTGCAAACCTCTCCATGTGTGAAACAAGCCTCCACCGTGTCAGTAACAATTTTTACCTTTGTCTTTATTTTTGCCTTTAGACGTTTCCTCTGACATTTAACTTACCAAAACCAGCACACCAAGCTGAGGCTGGTTCTGACACCGTACATTTCCCTTCTCTCCTTCAGCTGACACGTTGAGTGTAAAAAGATTTCTGAAGGGTTTTAACAGCTGGTTTTGAAATCTGTAAGTGGGGTCTACAGGATTGAAACCGTCTGGATCAGTTCTTCCTGAGGTCTTTGCTCTGACCCGAGTTCAAAAATTCTAATTCTTTCAGCTGACGAGCTTTATGGAGATGCTGATTTCATATTCCAGCAGGACTTGGCTCCTGCCCACACTGACATGTACCAAAAGCTGGCTGTGGAATATTCTCATTTTATGAGACACTGGATGTCGGTTTTTCATTAATGTTTAAGCCAAAATCATCAAAATTACAAGAGATGAAGTCTTGAAATATTTCACTCCGTGTAATGAATCTATGTAATATATGAGTTTCACTTTCTGAAATGACTGACAAAAAAAACAACTTTTTCACGATATTCTAATTGTTTTAAATGCACCTGTATACATAGTTTTAAAGTACAGGTCTTTTTAGTTGGGCTAATGAAAGTTTACAGTTTGGATCACTGTGCAAAAGTCCATGTCCTCTTGGGAATAAAGCACAGCATGATACACGTTGCAATAACAAGTTAACATCTGACGCACTCATCATTCAGAAGACAGTCTTTAAACATTGTCACAAGTGATTGCTCCATCTGCAACGCTGCTTTTGCTGAACTTGTTTTAAGGAAATAAGTAAAAAAGGAATAGACAAATTGTTTTGTCTGTGATGCTGAACGGATTTTAGCGTTGATGTGAGGCTAATTACACGCTGAAGATTCTTTGCTTCTTTACTGTCATTTAGGCTCCTCAAATACAGATTCCTGTTCAAAGTGCACTGCATCAAACATTGACAAGATGTTTATTTTATGCTTTCCCATGAATCTTTATGAGGGGAAGGATGTCTTAGAAGAGTTGAATTTATAGTAAAAGCATGTGTGTGTTTTTGTTTGTTTTTGCTAACAGCAGGGTTGTGATTTGGAAAAGCTTTGTAAGCAAGCTTCACATGAATCTCAGCTCAGTGCATGGCTCAATTTGTTCACAAGTCGCCTGGGAACGCAGCTAGTTTCCTGCAGGCGTTCCACAAACATGTATCAAAACATAGATTTTCTCAAAGGGAAGTATTTTTTCTCCTTGTTTGGTAATAGCTAAATTCATTTTGTAGATAGACTGCAATAATAGATATTTCCAAACAAAACAAGCTGTGTTGTGGGGAAACCTACTTTACGTGAAGGAGACATAACATCTCCACTGTCCCAGGAGAGTCTGCCTGCCTCATGTTTTGTGTCTCTATTATTTACAGTGGTGCTTTAAAGTTTGTGAACCCGCCATAATTTTCTATATTTCTGCTTAAAAGTGACGTAAAACATCATCAGATTTTCACACAAGTCCTAAAAGTAGATAAAGAGAACCCGATAAAACAAATGAGACAACAATTGTATACTTGTTCATTTATTTATTGAGGAAAATGATCCAGTCTCTGTGTTAAAATGTGAACCTCTTAGAATTTGAAGGTGAAATTAGAGTCATGTGTTTTCAATCCATGTGATGGTGATCAGGTGTGAGTGGGCACCCTGTTTGATTTAAAGAACAGGATCTATCAAAGCCTGATCTTCACAACATGTTTGTAGAAGTCTATCATGGCACGAAAAAAGGAGATTTCTGAGGAGCTCAGAAAAACAGTTGTTGATGCTCATCAGGCTGGAAAATGTTACAAAACCATCTGTAAAGAGTTTGGACTCCATCAATCCACAGTCAGACAGACTGTGTACAAATGGAGAAAATTCAAGACCATTGTTACTCTCCCCAGGAGTGGTGGACCAACAAAGATCACTCCAAGAGCAAGGTGTGTGATAGGCAGCGAGGTCACAAAAGACCCCAGGGTTACTTCTAACAACTGAAGGCCTCTCTCACATTGACTGATGTTCATGAGTCCACCATGAGGAGAACACTGAACAACAACGGTGTGCGTGGCAGGGTTGAAGGAGGAACCACTGCTCTCCAAAAAGAACATGGCTGCTCGTCCTCATCCCCAAGCCAATTTATAACAGATAATTCTGAATCTCGGCGAACATCTGTATCTTCTCAGGACCTATGAAAAATCTCTTGGAGCCATTGTCCAAACTCAACAGGAAGTCGGCCATTTTGGGTCAAAGGGTCATTTTTGGGCATTTCTAATTGCAAATTTTAACTAACTCCTCCTTGGGATTTTGAAGGCTTGCCTTCAAACTTGGTTAATATGCCCCTAAAACACTGGGGAGTAAAAGTTATCTAAAGCTTGCGTTTTCATATATGTTAAAGGGGTGTGCCAAGCCTCAAAGTTGCACTTCACGCCGTTAATTTACAAACACTATAACTTTCACATTGAAAGACCAAAATGCACCAAGCTTGGCATGAGTCATCCCTGTTGGATGCCCGACAATCCTCTGTGGTCATATTCTGAGGTCATTAAAAACCCCGCCACCTCAGAACAGGAAGTCACTTTTTTTTACTTTGAATGCTCCCTCACTGACACCCTTGACCTAATCAGGATGATCCTGTATTAGAAGATAACAAGTTGAACTGACTTGATTTAAATTACAAATAGTTTTAGCTGGAGGATGTGGGCGTGGCGGCATGACGAATTAAGAAGTGACGCCGTTGCAATACGTTTGGCTCTAAATTGCACAGATTTGAGCCGAGGTGAACCAAAATCACTATGATCAATCATTATCCATCCCTTGAACAGGAATCCATGATAAGTGGCCAATAGCCTCCACAGCGCCCACTACATTATTCCAACACTTATATCTCAGTGATACATCATCCGATATGCGCCAGATTTATTTTGTATCTTCAGTGAGCACTTCTACACACATTGCTGTTGTTTAACATTTCACTCAAGTGCACCCCCTACATTATTCAAAAAGTTATATCTTAGTGATACATCATCCGATCTGGACCTGATTTTTTGTGCTTCATCATTGAGCACTTGTAGACACATTGGTAATGTTTAGTCATGACATCACTTAAGCCCCACCCACTCAGATAAAAAAAAACTGTTGATTATTGGATGACTCTTCCAGCGTCACACTGTGTAAGATATTAGACTGAAACTTTGTTCACTAACTGTTGATTACCACACATGACATGTTGAAAAGCATAAAGGAAGTGCTTGTCAAACATTCGCAACAAAACAGCAAGTCACTAACTCCTGTCTGGAAGGTCGGATTTCGCCTATACTTGTAAGACCTGCAGCTGGACAAGTACTGACATGGACGGAAGGGGATGTCGAAGATTCAGGAAATGCGCCCCATGATGAACGCATGGGGGATTGGCACAAGAGCGTTCGCGATGACTAGCTGGAGCTCCTGTGGTCACCATAAGGCCGAAGCGGCGCTTTTCTGCGAGGGCCTCCAATGCTGCGTGCAGCTTTAATTGTTGTTGTTTTTGATGTTTCACCAGTTAAACAAGGAAACATTGAAGTTTTTCTCCTAAATTAAATAATCAATGGACATTGATTGGGTCTACTTATAATATTTTTTAGTTTTTTGCTTGATATTTATCCTGATAGTTTCTGATTTTGTATTTTAATGTATTTCCTTTTTATGTCAAATAAATAATAAATTTAGTGCAATCCCTATATTTTAACAATGTCTCAGCTATATAAATTAGTGAGTCAACCTTTACCATTTTTAAGACCTGTGGGCGAAAAGGGCACGTTTAAGTTCATTATTTTAGGTTTTCTAATTGCTAATGAGCTCTTTTTTACATCCTCACTTTTTCTCCGTGATTCACTCTTGCTCGCCACCTCTGTTTATCTCTCTTGTGCTTTTTATGTTGCTGACTTTACTGCCGCCTCACCTTCTGCCCGTATCTATATATATTTTCCTAGTGGTTTGCTTTGATGCCAAGATCAACTTTGATGACAACGCTGAATTCCGTCAGAAAGCTGTGTTTGCCATGGACGACATGTCTGAGAGCGACCCCACAGAGATGGAGGCAGCCAAGTGGGACCTCAAATATATTGGAATGGATGGAAACATCGCCTGCTTTGGTATGGATACAAAGCCCTGTAACAAAATTCTCTCACCTGAACGCACATACACCAACAAATAAATGAATTCTCCGCCTTAAGCAGATACCTCTTGACTTTAATATCTCTTTTAAATCACATAAGTAAAAGCTTTGACACAGATAAAAATTGGACAAACTGAAGGTAGCCGAGGCTCTCCTACAGTCAACATAACAAGCTGCGTGCTGAAGACTCAGAACGAAGGCTGCCATAACCAATGCATTCTAATTAGCCATAATCCGCCCAGAAACTCTCTAGTGAGCCAGATTGTTAGCATTCTCATTAAAGGGCTCCTCTCTTGTCATAAATCAAAGCTTTTACAGTGTGCAGCAGCACTAACAGGTGCTCTCGCTCCTTACCCCATAGCCTCATAAACACATTAGATGTCTGTTAGCACTGCTCCCCCTTCGAGCACACGCTCGCACCCGATTCTGCATCTACTGCTCCCACTCTCTTAAAATAACAACAGCTTTTAGGACCCCGCAGCTTCTTTGAGAGTTTTGTAAGCCACCAAAGTGACAGCTGTTAAAGCAAATTTCCCTTTTATTGAGACCTCAGTCGGGGAGCTTGCCAAGACACAAATTCAGCTTAGCTAAACCAAATGAGGTAAGACATACAACCCAGCAGGGTACTGATACTGGCAGCGGGCTAAATGTGAAGACAGGCCACAGAAAGTATAACAGAATCTTGTTTAATTAAAGCATCTTTTTGTGAAGTTGAATGACAAGTTGTGAGCAGTTTGTTTTGTTCCTTAACATCAATTTTCCTTTGGTGAAGACTTTCACTCCAAATATTTTTTGAGATTAACAATTTGTTCAGCTGTTTATGTCCAACAGTGCTGTTTAATTAACAAATGTTAGCTGCCTTCACACATTCACAACCATCCACATCAACGAGGACCCTCGTCAGTATGCATACCGTGAGAACCGATCAACAGAGGATGTCATCTCCTCTGTGGTCCACACTGTGCTCAACCACCTGGAGCAGAAAAACTCTTTCGTCCGTATGCTCTTTGTGGACTTCACATCTGCCTTCAACACCATGATCCCCCAAACCCTGATGGACAAACTATTCACACTAGGACTAAGCCCCTCCATTTGCAACTGGGTACTAGACTTCTTAACAAACAGACCACAGTCAGTGAGGATCCACAACTTCTCCTCCACCACCATAACCCTCAGCACTGGCTTTCCTCAGGGATGTGTGTTGAGCCCCCTCCTGTTTACTCTGCTCACGTATGATTGTGCAGCTACCCATCCAGGCTGTCACATTGTAAAGTTTGCAGATGATACAGCGGTGGTGGGATGCATCACAAACAATGATGAGTCCAGCTACAGGCAAGAGGTGGAACACCTGGAGAGCTGGTGCAGAGAGAATAACCTTCACATCAACGTGAAGAAGACAAAGGAGATGATTGTGGACTTCAGAAGGAACAAAAACACCTACACCCCCCTGAACATAAGAGGATCTGCGGTGGAAGTGGTCTCCAGCTACAAGTACTTGGGTGTACACATGAATGACAACTTCAGCTGGAGCACCAACACCACCAGCCTGATCAAGAAAGCTCATCAGAGACTCTACTTCCTCAGACGGCTGAGGCAAGCTGGTCTGGGAAGCTCTGTCCTCACCTCCTTCTACAGGTGTGCAGTGGAGAGCATCCTGTGCTCCAGCATCAACGTGTGGCATGGAGGCTGCACAGCTGCAGAAAGAAAAGCTCTGCAGAGAGTGGTGAAGGCTGCACAGAAGACTGTTGGAGTCAGTCTCCCCACCATCACAGACATCTATACCTCCAGATGCAGGAAGAGGGCCACCTGTATCATGAAGGACCCCACTCACCCAGCACACACACTTTTTGCCCCACTCCCCTCAGGAAGGAGGTTGAAAAGCATTGTGTAGAACCAGTAGACTCAGGAACAGCTTCTACCCTGAGGCTGTTGGACTCATGAATCTCTAACCAGAATAATCATTGTGGAAAAAATCACATTATGTTGCTACTGATCTGTTTCATGTTGCTGCTGATCTGTTTCATGTTGCTGCTGATCTGTTTCATGTTGATGTGTTCATGCGTGCTTATCTGCTCACACAGACTCATGTTCATGTTTGTGCTGATGTTTGACGTAATGTTTTTTTATGCTATTAGTGCTTAGTGTATATTTAGTTGATGTTTTTCTTAGTTCATATCTTAGATGTTATTACTGTTTTTCTTTTACATTTTATTGTTGGATGTAACTGGGACCCTGTGTACATAATTTCGCTCCACCACATGTACCACATGAGGTGCGAATGACAATAAAGAATATCTGACTCTGACATTCTACTTCTACTCATTGAAGTTTTATTCCATTTTCTGCACTTGACTTTTTCATAACAAAGAAAATGTAAATTTATATTAGTGCAGAAAGACAAATTGTAGACATATTATATTATGCAGAAAGACATACTGAAAGTTTTGTTTGGTTTTTACGGTTACAAATGTTATTTTCTCGACATATACGAACACATCATAATAGATTTTATGTATTCACATTTTCAAAACAGTGAATGGAGCTGGTCTGGCCATGGCGACATGTGATATTATTGACCTTCATGGGGGGAAACCAGCTAATTTCCTCGATCTTGGGGGTGGAGTCAAAGAGAGACAGGTGTACGAGGCTTTTAAGCTGCTGACTGCTGATCCAAAGGTAGGAGCTAAAAAAAGAAGTACTTTTAGTTTACTACTTGCTAAATTGTTTTTGTTCGTTCTGTTTCTTCACAAAGCTTTCTCTTTGTAGTTACCTCATTGCTACTGAGACACTTCATTAGACAACAGATGTTGGCTTTTGTCCACGTTTCCTGAGTGAAACAGACTACAGGCTACTGTTACCATAATCCTTCATTTCAGCTGCTGAGACTAGGTAAATTGATGCTCAGCGCTCAGCTCTGAATTTGGCTCCTAAAGTCTTGTTTTGACAAAGATCATCATGTGCATATTAACTCACAGCCCAGTCAATCAAATGCATGCTTCTGAGGGACTTGGGTCTGTGTGAGTGACAGCTCGGGGCGTTTTACAAACGATTCAACTCTATGTTCAGAAATCTAATAAGTCCAGACTAAACAACGTGAGCCTTGTAAAAATACTGCGGGGCTGATTGTGTGTTGACTGTCATCACATCACTAATTCCCTCACTGCTGTCACTCCCTTACCCCAGCACTGATATCTGGTTGCCTTTGTGTTAGCGTCTCTGGCAACCTTTTGTTGTGTGGAATGCAGAGTAAAACTCGATAAAAGTTCAGCTCTCAGCCAAGATTTTTTTAAACCTTTTATTACAATAGCAAATGCATCTTTGACTTGGCAGAAAATGCTCTCAAAATTGTGTTTCACACTAATTACAAGCTGTGATAACTCCTCTACTATTGCTTTCCCCTCTGGGAGTGTCAAAAAACGTCTTAGAGAAACCTACTACACCATGTAGAGTCTGTTTGGTTATCTGCAAATAATCTGTTTTTCTACTAAATACCTGTTAAATTTCTAAACATTATATGTTCAATCACAGGACTTTATACAGGTATGTGTACTTCAAAGGCACAATTGTGATATATTGACTTTAGAAAATATTATTGTTTATAAATTGACAGGTTACAGTTTTTACTACAGTAGTCCTGTGTTTATCGTGGTGGATTCGTACCCTGAAGCCCCACGATAAGTGAAAAACGCAAAGTAGGAATAGTAGTACAAGTAGTTAGGCATTTTAAACCTTGCCCACACTTTTGCAATATTTTAACAATCTAAACTCTAAACTCTCTAAAAGAGCACAGAACATCATGATTTCAGCTCCCTGCCTCCGCTGCCCTTTGCCACCTGCAAGCGCTCTTGGCCACACCCACTTCTCTGCTCTGCACGGAGAACAGCTGATCAGCTGCAGAGGAAGTTTATCCTGCAGTCTGGGCTGCACAAAGGTTCAGGAGGTGCTAAATAATTTGAAATATTTCATTTTAAATAAAAATTCCATGCCGATTGTGTGGCTCATCCATCAATCAGCCAATTGTTTGTCATGTCCAATCTTATTTTGAAAAACTGTGATAGAGTGAGTCCGCGATAAATGAACCGTGTCCGCGATAAACGAACTGTGAAGTAGCGAGGACTACTGTATACCTTAACACAGTATTAGAGGACTTTTGTTTACTATTGTTTTCATTTCTGTTATTTACCAGGATGAGGTCAGGGTGAGGTTATGAGGTCAGGCAGGACTCCCCGTGGACTATGATGTTTGCAGATGACATGTGATCTGTGGTGAGAACAGAGAACAGGTGGAAGAGAATTTAAAGAGGTGGAGGTTTGCACTTGAAAGAAGAGGAATGAAAGTCAATCGTAGTAAGACAGAGTACATGTGTGTGAATGAGAGAGGGGCCAGTGGAACAGTGAGGCTACAAGGAGCAGAGGTCACAAAGGTGCAGGACTTCAAGTACGTAGAGACAACTGTCCAGGAAAATGGGGAGTATGGTAAAGAGGTGAAAAAGGGAGTCCAGGCAGGCTGGAATGGATGGAGAAAAGTTTCAGGAGCGATTTGTGGCAAAAGGGTGTCAGCAAAGGTCAAAGAAAAGGTTTACAAGACAGTGGTGAGACCAGCTATGTTGTATGGTTAGAGAGCCCAGACTGAGATGATTTGGACATGTCCAGAGGAGGGACAGTAGGTATACTGGTAGAAAGATGTTAGAAATGCAGCTGCCAGGAAAAAGACAAAGAGGAGATATATGGATGTAGTTAGAGAGGACATGGAGGTAGTTGGAGTGAGAAAAGAGGATGCAGAGGACAGATTGAAATGGACACGGTTGACTTGTTGTAGCGACCCCTGAAAAGGGAAAAGCCAAAAGAAGATTCTGTCACCATCTTAACCCATGTCACAAATTTACTGATTACTTTTCAAAATAGTGTCTTTGTGTTTGTCGACATAATAATAAATTTGTCTGGCTGCTGTTCAAGAGTAATGTGGAGTCCTGTGATTTACTATCAAGATATCTGCTGACCATAATTCTTCACACATATTTTCCCGAGTAATAAAACATCAGATAATAATTACAAGTTATTAGTTTTATTTTTGACCCATAAAAAAGTTGGTTTAATGAGAATTGCATTTACTACAGTCACACAACCAGGGTAGTTGAAAAATCAAGGACTGAAACACAAATATAAGTTTAGAAACAGTCAGGTAAAAACATAAATTATAACGTCAAAGTTAAGGTGCTGTAATGGCAGAGGGACAGATAGAATAATGAACATCTACAGTCAGTACAGTAAACCAAGGCAAAACAAAAAGCCTAACATAGAACAGGACGCAAGCAATGACAACATGAGGAGTTGACACATGTAGAAATAAAACTCAAACTGTAAATATACAGATAGGTGATTGAAAAATTCATTACAAAACTTAATCAGGAAGCAAGAAAGCGAAACAGGTGAAAATGAAGTGAATGTAACGGAACGAAACAGAAGAAACTAGCAAGAATTACAAACACAAAACGTACTATTTTTCAAGAAATGTGACCACTATTTGCTCTCCGTACTCGTTTTAAAAAATATGTCAATGACTTTCAACTTGAGTATGCTGCATAAAAAGTGCTAGTGTTTTCTTAAAATTGAAATATTTTGTCAGTAAGACACTTGACTTTTTAACAATGGGATTTTTAAGCACAGCTTCAAACAGGCGAGTGTTTTACACCTTCATAGGTGAATGCATAAAATCTGCTAACTTGACCACCACAGCAGGAATTCCCTCTCTCCAGTCAAATACCCTCTCTTTGATCGATTCGGCCTTATGAATTAAAACCAGGAGAGTGTGAAGGAAAATGAATGTGAGGGATAAAAAAAGAAACGCAATCAACAGAAGGGAGAACTTCGCTCATCGCTCATCCCTCATTTAGAGCCGTCATGATTATTATATTAGCCTTTAAAAACAGGTTGGATATTTGCAGAGATAAAATCAAAGAGAGAGAGAGAGAGAGAGAGAAAATCCCTGCATGGACGAGAGAACCTTCCCTCCTGTTCTTCTCATTTTGTTCTGGACTGTCTCCCTGGATCCAGATGGGGGAGTAAGCCCGCTGCCTGTCCCTCCTGCTGTCGTTTGGAAATGGCGACGTGAAGCTCCTCCCTAGCTGTGGGAAAAAGTTGAATAGAGTTGACATTAAAAAGGGCTGGAAGGTCCATTAGCATTTCAACGAGAGCAGCTGAGAAACCTGCTCTCATGTGTGGAGGAAATGTTAATCATTTCATAATTTGAGCGAGCTGCTCATTTGCATTGATTTTTATTTTTTCCACTATTTTTTTTATTAAGAAAAAAACTGCTGCTCCCAGTTCTAAAAATATGAGAACAGGCTAATGGTTAAATCACACCTAAAGCTAGATGACTGTGACCAAATTAATATCAAGAATTAGTATATTTTCTTATTTCTAAGAAATATAAAATCGTATTTGCACTTAATATATATATTATTACGTTCCTCCTTCTTTTGGCTGCTCCCTTCTTCAGAGGTTGCCACTGTGAACTAACTCGCACAAAGACTTGTCATTTGCTTTTACACCAGATGTTCTTCCTGAGACAACCACAGACCACCGAGCTACCACAGCCCTCTGTGTGCAGCAGAGCTGCCCTCTAGAGCACCCGGGGGGGCAGATGGTGGGAGTTAAGGGCCTTGTTCAAGGGCCCAGTGTGGAGGCAGGTGTGGATATTTCACCTTTCCCACCCACATTTTGATGTTGTTGTTCCAGGGAGTCAAACCAGTGACCTTCCAATCATGGACTCACCTTCTCTAACCTCTGCGCCACCACTCCCCCTGCCGAGGTGGTGTAATGGCAGGGCAGACGACTCTGGACCCAAAAGTCCCATGTTCGATCCCCTGTCTTTGCACATCTCATGGTGTCTCTGAGCAGCACACTCTATCCCCAAAAATGCTCCCCAGGCTCTTTCAATAGCTGCCCACTGCACCACCTGGTGGTGGATGGGTTAAATGCAGAGATCCAATTTCGCCATTGTTTGGGAACATACAATGAAGACGATACATAACACTTTTTTTTGTATTATTACAAACATAAAAAAAAACATGAAATGGCATTAATAGTTTCTACCTTTGACATATTTTTTAACATTTCTTTTTCCTTTGAAAGGAAATCCTTGAACGCATGGGTGAATCCTCAGTTAAACAGCCTAAAATTAGTTATTAATGTTAGGCATATATGAATAAAAGTGTTTTATTAGAGACCAGTTTGTGCAGAAATGACAGAAGTCTTTTCATCTAGGAAGAAGCCAGTAAAACAGGCTGCACACATCCCACTATAATGGCGCCATACGTTTACACTAAAACCGCTGGTGTCTGTCTCCTTCAGTTTCAGTTTCTTCTGTTTTTGTTTTCCTTCTTCCGGTTTTCCCGCTCCGTGCGTCTCAGATTTTACTTTGATGTCTCCGGCTCATTGTGCTGAGACGAGTGGAGGTGATACAAGTGTGCAGCTGGAACTGAATAACAGATGGGAAAGAGAGCCTGATTTGTCTTAGCTCAATTTATTTTACTCTACAAGCATTTGTTTCCTTTAAAATGTGTATTTTTCCAAAAGAAATATAAAATATAAAATTAATACAACAAGCATAATTTGTGTGAGAACAGAAAAATAACCAAAAATGAAATGAATATTACAGGAATGGAGGAAAGGCTT